GGGCTTGGGAAAGGAGACAGCTGCTCGGAGAGAGGGAACCGGGATTCCAGAGCCAGGCCTCCTCGCTCCCATTTTACAGCCCGGGGGACCGAGACCCACAGCAGGAAAGTCACAGGCCTAAGGGTTTCACGGGAACTACGTTTACCTAACTGGCGTTTTCTCCTCACGGAGGTCAGTCCGGGAGCGGGCCCCGAGCCCTACCGGAGACCCCCACGACCTCACGGCCTGAGGAGGGAGGCACCTCAGAAACAGTGGCCCGCGTGTAAGCGCGTCCCCGGGCTCCTGCCCCAGGCTCCGCCGCAGCCGGCCCGCGGCCAGGGAGAAGGGGGCTGGAGAGCAGGGCCTCCCCCTGCTGTGCGACCTGACTTCTCTGGACCTTCTTCCCCCGTCAAAGGAGGGCTGACATCCCAGCTCACAAGCCTGCGAGGACCGAGTGAGGGAAGCAGCTGGGGTTAAGCGCTGGGCCATTCGACAGGCGCAGGCTAAAAGCAGTTTTTGTGGACAGGTGATTTGGGTGCCTGGGGGGAGGGTCAGGGGTGGGGGTGTGTGTGTGTGTGGATTCTTCTATGGGTCACCTGAGTGGTCTTAGAAGGTGGGAATGGGGCATAGCATCCAGGCTGGAGGAGTAGCGCCTGCAAAGCCTGGACAAAGTCACAGGCTGGCTAAACCTTGACAAGTCCGTGTGGGTCAAAGCGAGCTGATTCCCAGACCAGCCTAGGTCTGGGTTTTGTCTGTCTTTTCCTGCTGCTCCAATAAGGCAGGGGGCAGGGCCCTCACCCATGCCAAGGATTCCCTACAGAGCTGGTAGGGTGCACTCTCGAATTACAATGGCCCTATTTGTGAGTCTCCTTAGTCAATGGTGACCTCTCTGAGGGCAGGGATTAGATGTGACTTGGCTCAAGACCAAGCCAGACCCAGCAGGGCCAGGGCCACTGGGACCAGGTCCTGATCGGAACCCAGGGGTCCGGCCCAGTGTTCCTGGCTCTGTCTTCCTCTTCCCCGTATTTTGGGAGCCCTGGGGAGCCCCACGGCCTTGGTTATACTACTTGCAGACCCTCTCTGAGCCAGTAGCCTCGGCTGTTCCCTGGCACCAAGTTGGAGACTCAGAGGAGAAAACTGGTCACCAGCTTTTGCTTCAAGGGGATAGAGAAGGGGGCTACCACCTGCATCCACTTATTACAAACATCACCAGCCAGCCGTTTTTCTTGTTTTTTTAAAAATTTATTTTTCAAATACAGTTGACATACAATATTATATTTGTTTTTCTTGTTTACATGCCACTCAGTGAAATCATCGAGGTTGAGAGACAGGTGCCTTACCCAGAATCACATAGTTAATAAGTGAGGAGTGGAGAGTGGGGGTGGGGAGAGGAGGTACCAAAAGCCATATCGTTCTGAATTTTCCAGACCCATATGAGAATATCCCCTTTCACAGATAAAGAACAGCTGCCAACCCTGTAAAGGAAGAAAGACATTTCCCTGAATGCAGCCTCATCTGCACAGGCTCTGCCCACCCTCCTACCCCCACCCTCTTGGGCAGGTGATTCTGGGGCCCAAGGCCACATTTGGAGAAACAATGAGAAATAAGCACTGGAATCAGGCCTCGTATGGTTGTTACGAGGATTAAATGAGTTATTATATATGTGCTTAGCAACAGTGCTTGGCTTATAGTAAGTACTTAGCAATATTGGTTATTATTATTGTTACTACGACTATTATTATTTCTGTAAGTAGAAGAGAAGCAATGAGAGAATCCATGAGCTTCTTGGCAGAGCATCCTCCCTCCCATCCCCACCTCCTGCCTCCACAACAGGGGTCCAGCATCCTTTTGCAGGACCACAACCCAGAGACAACCAACTACTATAGCATTTGGATATAACTCTTCCTAAATGTGTCTATTTTACAAAAATCTGGGCATACATTGCATACCCTTTTAAGTAGCTTTTGTTTCCATTTAACACTGTTCATCCTGAACATCTTTGCATATCGCACTGCATTCAAGTTATTCACTTACACATCTGGCTCCCCTGTAGACAGTATCTTGAGGGCACATGTAGACATCTCATGTCCTATCCTCACCCCACCTTCCTTGTGCCATCCCAAAGCTGGCGCGAAGTAGGCCCGTCATGAATGTAAGTTGTGAACAGCATGGATGTGCAATAGTGGTGGATTGTTCTGTCCCCTGCCTAGGAACACAGCTCATTTCCATAGGGAGGGAAGAAGGCTCATGGGTAGGGGCATCTCAAGGTCTGCCAGCAATGCGGCCAAAGCTGGTCAAGGTCAAGGGTGGGAATATTTTTAAAGAAAGGTCTCTGAGCACATTCATTAATGCCAAATAGCAACAGGATTCTGAGGTTTGGCTTCCTGAAAGAGGGGTTTAGGCTAGTGCTCTCAACCCAGGATGATTTTGCCCACCTCCTACCCCCAGAGAACACTGGCAATGTGTGAAGACATTTCCAGTACTATACTGTATTTATTGATACTGTAAGTTTATGTTGTCTGTTTATAAGATGGAAAAAACTGCACATAAGTGGACCCATGCCGTTCAAACTGTGTTGTTCAAGGGTCAGCTGCACTTATTATCTCATAGTTCTATAGGTCAGAAATCCAGGTGGGTCGCCTGAGTTCTCTGCTTAGGGTTCCACAAGGCCAAAATCAAGTCAGGGTGTGGGCTGGGCTGGACTCTTATCTAGAAGTTCTAGG